AAAAAAAAAAAAAAAAAAAAAAAAAAAAAAAAAAAAAATTAGGGCTCAATTTACTTAGACATAGGCTTTTAAACCACTTACATTAAAGAAGATTTTTTTTTTCCATACACTGATAATTGTAATTAAAATTTTATTATTTTTCTCATCCAAAACCTTTTTCCTCATACTCTTTTTCTCTCTTCTGTCCATTGTCTTTGCAAAAGTTACAATCTAACACAGCTTTATTTTTACTTTCTCTCTCTCTCTCTCTTCCTACCCCTTTCCATTATTTCTCTCACTCGTGTATGTATTATATATCCAAATAGGTATAAAATAATGAGCAAGTGCAAGCTCTCTATGCGCAGAAAGCGCCTTATACACCTGACGCCGTGACACGTGTGTGTCAAGCCAAGTACTTACACACATGTAGCGTAATGTAATATGGGGGTGGGTGTATGCGGAAAGGGGTGAGAATTGCCTCGACCCTGACCGAGGTCCTCTCCCGTTGGATGAGGAGGAAGGGAGGGAGCGGCAGAGATGGAGCTGCAGCGCGGAGTAGAGCAGTGGGCCAGATCGAGCGTGAAAATCTCGTGCTTCTGCCAGCGCAGCGGTCGTATATAGACCTCCTTACCCGTTTCTATATATTTTCCGGCGCGCCCCTGACTCTTTTCCTCCCTGTCTTTCTCCATGCGACGTCCGTGCAGAGACACACACACACGCGCGCGAGTGTGTGTGTGTGTAGTTGAGAGCCACTGGCTGCTGTGTGTACCTATATCAGGCGCGCCAGCGCAGTCATCTTTTGCCATCCCTGTCTCGTTCTTCCTCACGGTTTTATTCGCAATGTGCGAGATGATAGTGATGCGCATCACTCTCGGACATTGCAGAAAACCGATGCCTCATCAGCCTATGACAGTCTCTTTTTTTAGCCTCCTGCTGATACTGGAAGTAGATGAGGGGAGAGAGAGAGAGAGATGTGGATTACACGCTGGAGAAGATCCTATTAAATGTTACATTGTTGCTTGAAAAGAGCAGTGCTTTGAATTAATTTTTTTTTTTTTTTTTTTTTTTTTTTTTTTTTTTTACTGACTTTTTTGGGTCACAACTTTCTATTTTTTGACGATAGTATAATATATCATAGAGAGGTAAATATTTATAATGTACAGTTTACCGAAACAAACGAATTCTAGCATACAACCTATTCTAATTTTTTTTTCTTTTGAGCGTACAGATAAAGCAGTTAAAATTATAGAAACAATAATTGAGGAAAATCTATGTATAAGGTAAAATATTAAGGGGGTGAAAATCACCCTTCAAATGAACAAAATTACTTAAATTGCGGTTTCATAAAGATTTTTTTTTTCTACATTCACTGTTAATCCTTTAAGAAAGAGAGAGCGTTAAGGAGAGACAAGGTCCCTGAAAATAAGCTACAACGTATATCGAAAATATCTTTCTACCCTACTGGATTAAAATTCATTTCGAGCAGTCAAATAATCATCAACTGTAATAGCATATCCATAGTTATTTCAAATATTTAAATATTCCTGTACTGAGATATTTAAGTACTTTTTTTATCGTTATCATGATAATTTTGTTGTTAACATTAATAAAATTACAAATATTTTTACTTTTACTTAAAATTAAAGTTAAACGTAAGTAGTTTCTTCCAATTTTTGAAGTAATCCATAAAAAATTTACTTAATTTGAAACATTAAGTAAAAAAAGCTAGAATGAATATAAGAAAAATTTTTTAGTTATTTTAACAAACTTATTTTTATGAAAAATCAATCCTAACAGAAAAGTATTTTAAAATTTTTTTTGTACTAACATCAATTATTTTTTTAAAATAAATTAGGATAGTGTTTTATATGCAAACTATGCGGTGCAATGATTTTACGTCTTTGAA